TTAACCCTTCCCTGTGCTACCCAAAGCATGTGTATAAGGCTGAAGTTACATTTAAAAATGTACCTCTTCCAACTTACATACAAATTCAACTTAAGAACAAACCTTCAGAAACTATATGGTTCATAACTTGGGGACTGCCTGTATATTAGTATATATTGTGACATACACAATTTTGAAATTAAAATCAGAATGTACACGGTGGTCAGCTTGTGACAATAGAAAGGGGAAAAGCTCACTCATAGAGAGGAGTGATGAGAGCCCAGAGTTACTAGAGAGCACACAAGCATAGAAAAATGAGTCCACTTTAATTTCAAACACCCCACTCATCTCAGTATTCTTTTAGCATTACAAACTATACATATGAATGGAACAAGAAATCTGTTTAAAAACCCAAAGCACAATTATTACTTTCATAGATGAGTCAATATTTTTACTGATTTACCAGTTACAAGAAAATTAACGTTAGGTGACAGGATATTCTCGCATATTCTCACCAAATACAGACAATGAATTTGGGCACTTAAAGTCACCCTGACTTCATATAGATTACTCAAATCAATTTGCTCTTTTCATCTTTCTCTCTTTCATGGATGCCATGTTCTTCCGAAGCTTGTTTGTTGTTGTTTATTATTTCAGTCGCTTCCGACTCTTCGTGACCTCATGGACCAGCCCAAGCCAGTGTTCCCTGTCGGCCATGGCCATCCCTAGTTCCTTCATAGTCAAGCCAGCCACTTCAAGGATACCATCCATCCTTCTTGCCCTTGGTCTGCCGCTCTTCCTTTTTCCTTCCATTTTCCCCAGCATCGTCTTCTCCATGCTTTCCTGTCTTCTCGTTATGTGGCCAAAGTATTTCATCTTTGCCTCTATTATCCTTCCCTCCAGTGAGCAGTCAGGCTTTATTTCCTGGAGTATGGGCTGGTTGGATCTTCTTGCGGTCCAAGACACTCTCAGAATTTTCCTCCAGCAGTTAACTTAAAAGGTAGATTTTTGGTATCAGTGTGCAGCTGCTTGTCTGTGGTAAACAGTGGAGAAAAAGAATAGGATTTAGCCCTTGCAGATCCTACTATAGTTGTGTGAACGTATGTTTATTTTCAATAGACACGGTAAACACCATCTCTCTCCAGAACCCCTTACTGAACATGTGCAAACTGCAAACCAGAAAGAAAAGTGGGAACTTCGCTGTAATGGTTGCACAGTCCACAGACTGATGCAGGGTAGCATAGGTTGGTTAAGTGGGGTGGGGGGAGGAGTGGCATCAGGATTTTAGAGATGCCTAGGTGGGGCATGGCCAGGGCATCCCACGACTTCTCTTAATGTGCTTCAAGGCCTTGGGCTATGTTACCCTGCATCAGTATATGGGCAGTGCAACCACTACAACGAAGTTCTCTTGGTATCTGTTAGAGTTTGGCTCTAGAACTCTCTCATAGTTACCAAAATCCATAGATTTGCTACAATGGTGTAGTAAAATGGTGACCCCTCTACAAAGTGACAAAACTTTGGGGGTGAGAAAGGCGGGGTACAAGTATATGAAATAAATAAATAATCCTAGAGCTGTGCCTATATTGAACTCTGGTTTCACACTGGTTTCACACTGATGTGGCATTAGGGGTTTGGCAATTGTTATTAGAATGTGGAAGGATGGGTTTTGTAATTCTACATATATAATATGTATTGGGGATCACCTTTTGTTTTGTAATTCTACATATATAGTATGTATTGGGGATGGCTGATTTCGTTGTACGATGTACAATGACAAAGTTATTCTATTCACTTCCAAACTGCATTATATGAGTATACTGACCACACAATGCAGTTTCAAACTGCACTATATGACAGTGTAAATGGAGCTATATATGGCTTCCCACCTGCACCAACCAGACAAATAGATGGAGAAAACATGGAGGCAGTGACAGACTTTGTATTTCTTGGTGTGAAGATTATTTATTTATTATATTTAAAACATTTCTATTCCACCCTTCACACCCCGAAGGGGACTCAGGGCAGAGCACAACATATAACCGCAAACATTCAATGCCGGGACATAAGTAGCCTATACACATACATAAACATTAAAATCATTTATCGAAAGAATAAAATCCAATGTTTAAAACCATTTCAATAATTTGCATCAAATCTGGTTGGCGTGATGAGGTTTCCTATTGCTGCCTTATTGCACTGACCCAAAAGCTTGGTTCCACAGCCAAGTTTTTACCATCCTTCTTGTTCTGTCGCCACTGGGTCCGAACAAAATGTCTTTATTCTATAGAACGCACACTTTAAACCCAGTGGGAAGCCAGGGTGCCCGAAGAGAGATTGTTAGAGACTTCCAAAAGTAATGGGCTTTAGAGTCTTTAAAAGTACAATAAAGTCTTTATTAAGGAACAAATCTTCAAACAAAACTTCACGGCTTTACTATTCAAGTCTTTAAGAGACTGGCACTAACTTGGTTTGACTGTACTATCTCATAAGGAAGAACTCTTTATAATCCCTCCCAGGCCGTCCATCACCTAGGCCTCGCTGGTCTGGGTAATACTGCCGATCCCCAAATGCGTCTGGAAACCGAGTAACCTACCAGACGAAGCTAGAAGATGTTTAGCTGGAATTCTGTGGTTCTGCAGTGATGTCCTGTGGAAACTTCAGGGCTGTTTTCCCCTCTGGTGCTGTGAGGCTGAGAGGCTGTGAGCTCTCAGCCAGAGCCTTTGGGACCTTTTCCTTCTGTTTCCCTGGAACTGGATGGTCACTGGATGACCCCTGGATGGTCGCTGGATGGACCCCAGATCACCTTTGGATGATCCCCGGATGGCTATTTCTATTTCCCCGGAAGGTTTTGAGGAATGAAGCCTTTCCTACGGGACTAGCTGATCTGCGTCCTATAGACTGGCTTCCTTGTGTGACTGAAAATAGGCCCCTTCCCTCCAAAAGGCAAAAGGGGGCGGGACCAGGGATCCTAACTATAACTGGCAGGTGGCTTACCCTATAAATGCAAATTATAACAGGAAACCCCCTGCTGCAAAATCCCAAACATGGGTTTGCACACAAACATATAAACACAGCAAATAAATCTGGAGCTCCTGGAACAGCTGTTCCAGAACACTTCTGAAGGACAGAAGGGAGGGAGGGAGCTGATCTAATCTCACCAGGAAGGGAGTTCCATAGCTGGGGGGCAATCAATGAGAAGGCCCTGTCTCTCATCCCCGCCAATCGCGCCTATGACAGTGGCAGGACAGAGAGCAGGGCCTCCTCCTTTATTTCCACAATTACTGCAGACGCAGATTGCAGCCAGGAAATCAGAAGGTGTTATTTCTTGGGAGGAGAGCATCGGCCAATCTCGATAAAAAAGTGAAAGTAGAGACATCACATTGGCACCGAAGGTCCGCATAGTTACAGCAGTGGTATTCCCCATAGTAAACTATGGATGTGAGAGAAGGACCATAAGGAAGGCTGAACGAAGGAAGATAGACACATTTAAACTGTGGTGTTGGAAGAAAATTCTGAGAGTGCCTTAGACTGCAAGAAGATCAAACCAGTTGATACTCCAGGAAATAAAGCCAACTGCTCATTGGAGGGAAGGATATTAGAAGCAAAGATGAAGACAGGAAAGCCTGGTGAAGATAATGATGCTGGGGGAAATGGAAGGAAAAAGGAAGACGGGCCGACCAAGGGCAAGATGGATGGATGGTATCCTTGAAGTGACTGGCTTGACTCTGAAGGAGCTGGGGGAGGTGACAGCTGACAGGGAGCTCTGGCGTGGGCTGGTCCATGAGGTCATGAAGAGTTGGAAGCGACTGAACGAATGAACAACAGTAAAATTGGCATAAAAGTTTAACTGCATTGAACTGCATTATGAGAGTCTACACCAGGCATGGGCCAACTTGGGCCCTCCCTCCAGGTGTTTTGGACTTCAACTTCCACCATTCCTAACAGCCTCAAGCCCCTTCCTTTCCCCCTCAGCTGTTGGTGAGTTGTTCATTCGTTTCAGACTCTTTGTGACTTCATGGACCAGTACACGCCAGAGCTCCCTGTTGGCCGTCACCACCCCCAGCTCCTTCAAGGTCAATGCAGTCACTCCAAGGATGCCATCCATCCATCTTGCCCCTGGTCGGCCCCTCTTTCTTTTTCCTTCCATTTCCCCCAGCATCATTGTCTTCTCTAAGCTTTCCTGTCTTCTCATTATGTGGCCAAAGGACTTCATCTTTGCTTCTAATATCCTTCCCTCCAATGAGCAGTTGGCTTTATTTCCTGGAGTATTGTCTTCTCTAAGCTTTCCCTTCTTCTCATAATGTGGTTATGGGCGAACTTTGGACTTCAACTCCCACCATTCCTAACAGTCTCAGGCCCCTTCCTTTCTGCTTAAGCAGCTGAAGGGGAAAAGGAAAGGGCTTGAGGGTGTTAGGAATGGTGGGAGTTGAAGTCCAAAACACCTGGAGGGCCTAAGTTTGTCCACAACTGGTGTAGACTGACCATATAATGCAGTTTCAAATGCAGTGTGGATGAGGCCTATGTCAGCAACGCTAATCTCATTGGGTCTGTCCATTATTTGCTCTTTTTATGACGTCAATGTGTCAAAAAAGCCATAATAGACATACAAGAATTAATAAATAATACTATTTTTTTCAAAAAAAACAACCGTTGCCAGGGTGTGAAGCCAATCAGCGCTTGATGGAAGAGGCAAGACAGCGGCAAATGGAAAGACAGCACTCCTGTGCGCTTCCTCCTCGCCCGCTGGCAAAGCCGAAGCCCATTGGTCCGCCGAAGACCACATGCAAATAAGCCGGCGGCTGGCTGACCACTGAGGAAGCGCGAGGAGGTTCGGGCGGCACTCTCATTGGTCCGCGCCCCCGTGGCGAGATGGCGCGCGGCCCCCTCCTGATCCCGCCGAGGCTTCCCTTTCTTTCTTTCTCTCTCTCTCTCCGGTTGCTATGGGGACAGAGCGCGGTGACGCGTCACCCGGCTGGGCGTGACGGACGCCCGCCATTGGCTACGCGATCGGGCGATGGCGTCGCGAGCCGGGTGTCCTTGTCGAGCGGGGAGGGCGCCCGCCTCAGTCAGCGGCGAGGACAGCGGAGCGAGAGGAGGCGGCTGCCGGCATTGCCTGTCCCAGGACGAACCTGGCCGTTGAGTCAAAAAGGTACGGGCCATTCCGTGGCCTCCACAACCTTGGCCTGAGTGTCAGTAGGTTAGGCCGCGCTGGCAAACGGGAGCTATTACGGGACTATTTCTGAGTGAAAAGAGGGGTTCGATTCAGGCGCGCCGTGGGCAGCCCGGAGGGGGCCTTCCTTCTCTGTCGGTTCTGTCAGCTTCCCTCAAGGAGCGTCTCTTCTTCTCTTGAGGATGGCGGCTCGAGTTTGATGAAGGCGCCTTCTGTTTTTCACCCGAACAGCCGCGGAGTGAGTGACGGTAGGGCCTGAGGCAGAGCTGGGACTAGGCCTTCTATGGAGAGTGCGCCTGTTTGTCATCCCTCCTGGACGTTGATAAGGAATACTGTCCCTAAGGCAGGCCTTTGGCAACTTGGGCCCTGCAGGTGTTTTGGACTTCAACTCGCACCATCCCTAACAGCCTCAGGCCTCTTCCTTTTCCCCCTCAGCCGCTTAAGCCCAAATTGGCCCAGGCCTGCCCTAAAGAAATCAGACAGGTGCCCTCTCTAGATAACTTTAGGAAAGAACTAAAAATCTGGATATTGAAGCAGGCTTTCAAAAAAGGTTGACTGCTTTTCACTATGATGGTGGCCCTTTAGCTTTTTCCATATCCATTGGTTTTAACTGGTTTTGCCTCCGCAAAAGCCCAGTACATTTTTAAACCTGTGAATTTATTTATTTGTTATGATATAGTTTTTTTACATTTTTGTTTATGATTATTGGTTATATACTATGTCTTGTGACGCAGCGGGTTAAACCGCTGAGCTGCTGAACTTGCTGACCGAAAGGTCAGCGGTTTGAATCTGGGGAGCAGCGTGAGCTCCTGCTGTTAGGCCCAGCTTCTGCTAACCGAGCATTTCAAAAAGGTGTGAAGAACTTCCTGACTGGGCATTGCACTTGCCCAGAATCCCAACATATCACCTCTTACACCCAGCACTTTTTAAACCTGTACCCTTCATTGGCCCAGCCCTGGTTTTATTGCGTAATAGTGTAATGTTTTGTTTTTGTTATTGCTTATGTTTTTAATTTGCTTGCATTGTATTGATACTGTCTGTTGTTGTTTGAGGCCTTGGCCTTTGTAAGCCTCATCGAGTCCTTCGGGAGATGCTAGCAGGGTACAAATAAAGTTTAATAATAATAATAATAATAATAATAAAGAGCCGTTCAGCAGTGGAACTCTCTGCCCCTGAGTGTGGTGGAGGCTCCTTTTTTAAAAAAAGATATTTTATTATGTTATACACACAGATCAATAAGCCAAATTCCAAGTGTTACACATATAAATCCTAAGTAATTCAACAAATATTAAAGACATTATGCTAATTTACACTGGTGTATATTACATTATCTGGTGGAGGCTCCTTCTTTGGAGGTTTTTAAACATAGGCTAGATGGCCATCTGTCACGGGTGCTTTGAATGCAATATTCCTGCTTCTTGGCAGGGGGTTGGACTGGATGGCTCATGTGGTCTCTTCCAACTCTATGATTCTATGAATCTGAGTAGATCAATAGGTACCGCTTCTGCGGGAAGGTAATGGCACTCCGTGCAGTCATGCTCGCCACATGACCTAGGAGGTGTCTACGGAGAACGCCAGCTCATCAGCTTAGAAATGGAGATGAGCACCACCCCCCAGAGGACACGACTAGACTTTATTGTATTATGTCTTGTCTTTTTTGTTTCTGCTTATGTTTGTATTGTGACTTAATTCTGTTGTGAGCCGCCTTTTGGAGAGGGGGTAGGTTTATTATTATTATTATTATTATTATTATTATTATTAAGGCACAATAGGTTTCCCTTCCCGAAAGCGAAGCCTCAGTTAGGCTGGTCACACCTGCAATGGGGAATTGATGCAGTTTGGCACATTAATGGTCACAGCTCAAGGCTATAGAGTCATGGGGTCTGTAGTTCCACAACAGGTGTGGGCCAACTTGGGCCCTCCAGGTGTTTTGGACTTCAACTCCCACAATTCCTTACATCTATTAGGAATTATGTTCTACAAGGTCTTGAGCCATCTCTCCCAAAGAATGCTAGTGCCTCTGTAACATAATCGGTCTTGTTTTGTGCATGTGCCTCAATGAATTGTGTATCCTAGGATTCTGTAGCCATAAGCCATGGCGGTTAAAGGGGTGGCAAACTGCATTAATTCTATAATGTAAATGTGTCCCTGTTCATAATCTAAGAGCCTTGCTGCATGCACAATGGAGGACTTTCTCACAACGCACTCAAAAGTGGCTAGCTTCTGGTATTTATTTATTGTGTCAGAAGCAAATTGAGAATACAGTTATAATGTCTAAAAACACCACAAACAAAGTTAAACACTTGGCATTATGCTAAATTTCCTTTGATCAGAAGCTGGCCACTTCAAGTGCCTCTGGTTTCACTGTAAGAAGGTCCTCCATTGTGCATGTGACAGGGCTCAGACTGCATTGTAGTAAGTGGTCTATGGTTTGCTCTTCTCCACACTCACATATTGTGGACTCCACTTTGTAGCCCCATTTTTTAAGGTTAGCTCTGCAGTCTGTTCAGCACCTTCCAAATCACCCAGTCTTCTGTGTGCCTGGGGTGGGGGGTCCTCATCTGGTATCAGCTACTGATGGGGGTTCCAGGCTTTAACCTGACACTTTTGGACTCTTGCTTGCTGGGGTGTTTCTCTGTAGCTCTTAGAAAGCACCAGTAGGCAGCTTCTGGTGAAAAGAAATTTAGTATAATGCCAAGTTTTTAACTTTTTTTTGTGGGGTTTTTTATACATTATAACTGTATTCTCAATGTGTTTCTGACATGATAAATAAAATAAAATCATTTAAGAAAACCAAATTGAAGACAACATGAATTGCAAAAGCATTAAGCAGCCATACCTAATAGATCATTTGGGCCGATGGGGTCAGAATTCTTAAGATTCTATTTAATAAATACAGGGTGTTTCAAAATGATGAACAGAGTTTCAAAACAGTATATTTCACAGCAGTGACATGTTACAATTACACAAAAAGTGAAAAAACTGTTTAATGAGTTACAAAGTTTTACTAACCATTTTAAGCCAGAAGCAGAGCTTTTAAAAAACTGCAAATGGACAATATTTCATCAGGCCTTATGTTGTGGGGTCTCCATCTTGTGAATGACTGAATCCTGGGGTGGTTTATCTTCCATAGAGGCGTCTAACAGCAATTGTTTGAAACTCTATGCCCCAACCTTTCAAATTGTAAGGGTTTCATTCATGGGTGGTTCATGGTTGCAAAGATATAGCGATTTCAAATCAGGTTCATCTTTTTGAAATGCCCTGTAGATCCTCAAAATATAAAAGGGTCTTATTATTTCTCCTGGAGACAATATGTGCCTATTCTGAAAAATAGATAATTGCGATTTTAAAATAAGGCATTATTGGATAAGCAGTGTTAAGAGCTCCCTGAAGTCCAGTTCACACTGGTTCTTGTCGTTTTCAGTCTTGTTTGAGTATAGCAAGGATGGCTTTTGGGTGTGGCTGGTACCAGAGTATTTGCAAAGCAGTGGCACTTAAAGGTATCAGAATCACTTTTATCACAGTGTTTGTCTACCTCTTACTGGTAATTGTTGTTAGCTGCCTTGAGTTCCATTATTGGAAGAAAGATGGAAAATAAACTACCGATATTAAAATCACCATCAAAGTTTCTGTCTATATTGTGCTGCATTTTCTCTATATATGCTTTCCTGGCTGTCAGAGATGAGTTAAATTTTCCATGGCACTGTGTCATGCTAGTTTAGAGTAGTTTCCCAGTTTGCATTTTTGTGTCATTTATAGATCAGTAATGGATGTGTACTGAAATATTATTTTTATGTGAAACCAGAATGGTGATAAATCCAATATAGTAATTTGTATTCTGTTTTGTATTTTATTGCAATGTTAAAAAAATCTTATCCATTTTGCTCTAATTACTTTGTAAAGATATTGAATAAATATTTTAAAAGTAAGGGACAGGACAGTAAGGGATAGAAGAGATAGAAAAGGAAGGTGTTCCCATGGATCTTTGTTCTATGTTCTTAAAAATAAATAACTGAAAGTGAATTGTGTTGGCAACCAGCTGACAGAAAGTTGTTCATGCTCAATGAGAGTCCATTATTTAAAAACATGTAATTTATGCACACCGATGTATTACATGAAGTACTGTAGTTCTTCATATTTGACAGAAGAGCCATGAGTCTTGCTGTGATATGGGTGTCATTCAACATAAGCTAGTCAGTAACGTTCCTGAGGTGGCCTTATAGAAGAGGATTGTCCTTGCACACCACTTTCTTTGCTTAATAGCTTCAGTGTTGTGACTAGATGGTTAAGACTATTTTTATATGTATGATTGCAGAGTTAATATCTATAAAAGCAACCTCTGTTTACTGTGTTAGAACCTGTCTCAAAGATGGCTTGTTCAAGAGAAATAAAAAGTCTGTCTGTTTGCCTCAGAAATTGTATGGTTCTAAAAGTAGAATATTTTTACACTATTGCAGATAGATGACCATTATAAAGTAAAGCGATTTGAGTGCCCTTTGCATTCTAAACTATCTGTAACTCACACAAGGTAATTAACATGTCTAATGAGAATAGATCAAGTTAACACAATCAGTCTGATTTACTTTTTTAAAGGTAAGCTTAGTGACTGATTTTTATTTTCAGAAACTTGAACGATATACATCTAATACTCCTATAAAATCTGTTAAGTATCCTGATAAAACAACTGATGGAAAAATGTAATCAGATTGTTTGTGAATATGAAGATATCAGGGCTACTACTTTCTTTTTTATTAAAATGTTCTGTGCCTTAAATATTTTAAAGTAAAATAGGAGAGAATGGCCCATGGAAAAATCAATTAATTGTGTCAGCATTTAACATATGTCCCATGCTATCTTAATCAGACACTTGAAATATAGTAATGTTCTGTTTTAGGAGTGTAGACCAATCAATCTTTGAGGAATGTAGACCAATAAAAATGTACCTGTTCCAACTGTCATACAGATTTAACTTAAGAACAAACCTACAGAACCTGTCTTGTTCATAACTTGGGGACTGCCCGTAGTAATGTTCTGTTTTAGGAATGTTGACCAATAAAAGTAGGATTGCCAACCTAAAAACAGCTTTGTGACAACTGAAAAAAAATCTATACAGTGTACTAATTCAGATTGCAATAAGATTACTGCCCTGAAAAAATATTGGTTACAGGATCGTTATGAGAAATAATTAATATCAACAAATTGTCCTTATTAAATATGCAGGGACATATCTTAAGGAAGTTAATGGAACCGTTTAAAAGAAATGAAAGTGGGCAGGAGACATGTTACTGTTACAAACACATGCCTACACAGTACATATATCCTATCTTTTGTAGACATCAGAAAAGGATGCTATTTGGGTCATACTTAAATGGCATTTGGCTTGCGTTTTCCGAATGAAAAAAAGTCATAAGAAATATAATTGAAAATAATTTTCTTGAAATTATTTGCTCAAAACTTACAATAATTGAAATGGATTTCTATATGTCAGTCATATATATCAAACATTTTGCACTTCAGTCACTTGGCTTGTCTCCTAGTACAGGAAGATGCATTTGTATATACACTATATAGATTGTTTTATATATTTGGAGAGCACTTCCTACCAGTGTAAGAAATCAACTTTATTTTTCTTTACAACAACTATTCTAAAAAGTCCACAAAATTGTTGTTACATTGCTTTGAATTATACCACATATCTAAATATCTTTGCATTATGTGTACAGTACAGAGTCTCACTGTTTCTTGTTAGTATGTACCTTTAAGTTGTTTCTGACTTACAATGACCCTAAGCTGAATGAATGAATGAATGAATTTTATTGTTACAGTCACAGACCAAGAGTATAAAACTTTACAACATTAAAAACAGAGAGTTTTTTAAAGTGTCAACATTAAAACCTAAAATTCACAAAATTAAAAGCAGAAAATCCATGAGAAATAAAATGAGTAAGTTAAAATTTATTCGCTAAAATCATCCACAAAACGTTTCCTTATTTTTATAACTTAAGTGAATGTAACACAGGGATTTTTTGGCAAGATTTAATCAGAGGGAATTTGTTTTTGCCTTCTTTTGATGCTGAAAGACTGTGCCTTGCTTTCAATGGCCGAGCAGTGATTTGAACCCTGATCTCTAGATTTGTAGCCCAACAATTAAACTACAATAGATAATTTTCAATGTAATATTGATGAGTAGCTATTTACATCATAGATTGGAATTTGTGATAGTTTCTGTCTTGGAATATTATGACAAGAGAATGTTATTAAAGAAAGAGTTGATACATCATGTAAAACTTAGGATGAGAGTCCGTTGATATATTTGGAATAATCACCAATAAAAGGTACTCTACTTACTCAGAAGTAATCATGAAGAGAAGTTGCAGATTCACTACCAAGTCAGAGAAAGAGACATTGTTGTAGATTTTGACGCTTTGAGGTGGAAGCAATCATAGTAGTAGGGCTGTTGCCTTTGGCAATGGTCCCTGTTACATGAGGTTGCATGATACCTGATGCCAACTCAGCACTGCCCCAGGATGAAGCCATTAGGGCAGTGGTGTCAAACATATGGTCCTCCATATGTTTGGGGATCAACTCCCAGAAGCCTCAGCCAGTTTGTCCAAAAAAACCTGTAAGGCCATAAATTTGACACCACTGCTTAAGAGCTACTGACCAGCAAAGCCTGACAATAGGACCTGATCTTGTTATAATTCTGGAACTTTCTGCATGCAATGAGGTCTGGGTACTTCTGTGCCCCAGGAACTCCACAGTCTAGCAGCTTTTGTGTGGTAATATTCCTTGTGATGTAATAGAGTAATTTTCAGAGGTTCTAAGAAGAAACACCTCTGCAATCTTATGGAAGAAATGTTTGTATTTCCTTGTTCCTGTTTGAAATTTTTTTAAATTAATGATTTTGTTTTATGTTCAGCTAATACAATAAACAAATAATTATCGCATCTGCTTAATCTGCATAGAGCTTCTTAAATTATAACTCTACCCAAATGCATAGTTTCCTGTACTAAGATAATACTTTGTTTGTATTTACTTCTAGGTCTGAGAAAATAATTTTGAACATGCTGTCCAGACTATTTCAAATGCACGGCCTTTTTGTGGCCTCTCACCCATGGGAGGTCATTGTGGGGACTGTAACTCTCACTATTTGTATGATGTCAATGAAGATGTTTACTGGTAATGACAAAATCTGTGGATGGAATTATGAATGTCCCAAGTTTGAAGAAGTAAGACAATAAACTCATTCTTTACATATTCGTTGTTAATATAATCACCTTACTTAGAATTTAAACTGCTAAATTGATCTAAGATAAGTTCAGTGAAGCACTGTTTGATGATAGCTATTGACAAAAATAAAATGCATGAATTTGGTCCTAATCTAGTTTCAGTATTAGAGATTAATTAATGTAGCCTGATACTTGGCAATATTATTGCTTCAAAAATGTGAAACACTGAAAATATTGATAACATTTTCAGAAAATTAATGGTTATATTTTAATAAGCAAAACTATATTCTTCTCTTAACAGGATGTTTTGAGCAGTGATATCATAATATTGACAATCACACGCTGTATAGCAATACTTTACATATACTTCCAGTTTCAGAATTTGAGGCAGCTTGGATCAAAATATATTTTAGGTAAGTTTATATTGTTTGTTTCCAAAAGTGATCACAAAACAAGCAAAAGGAGAATTACAAATGTCCATGTATATACTGATACAATATACAGTCAGATTTGTACATGTAGGTAATCCAAATACAAAGGCCGAATACGTTTAGGCTGCGTACACATTCCAGAATAAAGTTGTTGCTGACAACATTCACTAGATTTTACTTACATCTATTTGTAGACTAGCACAGATTATTATTTTTTTGAGAAGGTGTTCTGGTCCAGGTAAAAAAGGAGAATACACTTACAATTTAAGTATATTTTATAAGTGTGATTTATTGTAGCAGATGTTGAAATAAGAGAAGAGAAGTACTTTAGGAGGCCTTGAGGTCTTTCCAAGTGGAAAAAAAATGTTTCTATAGTTCTTTGATACAGATTACTCAACCAGGCCATCTCTGGTGCTCAGAGGCACAGAATGCAAATGTGGGTCATAACCACAAGCAAAGGGACATGTGTGCAACATAGGGAAACCATCCTGTCAATTTGGTTGAGAAGCCATTGGTAACAAAAAGCAGGGAAAATTACTCCTTGGGATTGGAAGAAAGATAGGTATCTTAAAATTCTATTTGCACATCAAGTTGGCATCCTTTGAGAATTTAATATTGCCCCAAGCCACCAGGAATTCATTTTGAGACAATACATTTAGGGAGTTGCTACTAAATGCAAGTTTTTCAGTGCTGTTCAAAGCTGGACAACTTGCTTCTAAATCAAGATTGTCTTAATGTATTGTCGAAGGCTTTCATGGCCGGAATCACTGACGTTTCGCCTGCACCAGGAGAGAATGCCTCTAGAACATGGCCATATAGCCCGAAAAAACCTACAACAACCCAAGATTGTCTTATTAATGGAAATTAAAGGGAGTGATGCATACTTTAGTTGGTGAGGCATCAGCACTCTCTGGCAGAGAAAACTAAAGACCCTCTAAAACTACAACTCCTATTACTCTATGCCATTGAGCCATGGCAGTTAGTGGTGTCCAATTTCATTAATTCTACAGTGTAGATGTCCCTTCTGTGCGTTTTATTGCCATTTTCTTTTTTCCAAGGTATTGCTGGACTCTTCACAATCTTCTCAAGTTTTGTCTTCAGTACAGTAGTGATTCACTTCCTTGATAAAGAACTGACAGGCTTGAAGTAAGTATTCTTCATTATTGTATATACAGTATACTTCTGTTTATCCAGCAGTAGATTTAACCTCAAAACTAAGATGAGTGAGGTTGGACAAAGTGAGAATAGTTGTATAAATGTTCAGAGTAGCCCATCTCTTCTAGCAGTGCTGGAGTACTTATACTGGTGTATATTTCTGATAAAATATTGAAGAAAATATTTATAACAATGAGCGAGAGTTCCTCTTGAGTGCCTTTACATTGCCAAAATCACCAGCAGCTAAAATGAGAAATGCAAATCAGTCAGCAGTCTAAGAAGCACACATTAGTTAAGCTTTTGTAGACAACAAATCAACTCATTATTTACTATGCTGCATATATCCTAATGACATGCAGTGCATATATGTATCCAAATGAATGTTGCAGGTGGAAAATCAACATAATTTACTTTTGTTAACTGTCCTCAAGTTGATTTAGACTTATGATGACATTATTATTATTATTATTATTATTATTATTATTATTATTACAGTATTATTTTTTATTATTATTACATTTATATCCCACTTGAATCCTTTGAGAGACCTCTATCCTATCATCAACAACCCTGCTCAGATACTGCACACTCAGAGACTCTTTGATTGAGTCTGTCCATTTGTAATTCAGTTTTTGTGCCTGCTTTCTACCTTATCAAGCATTATTGCTTTCTCCTGTGTCATGTCTTCTCATTATATGGCCAAAGTATGACAGTGTTAGTTTAGTCATCTTGGCTTCTAGGGGGAGTTCAGCTCTGATTTGCTTCAGGAGCCATTTATTTGTCCCTCTAACAGTTCATGGCATCTGTAAAAACTCTTCTCTAGCATCACATTTCAAGTGAATTGGTTTTCTTCCTGACAGCTTTCTACACTGTCCAGCTTTCACAACCATACATACATGATCCAGTATTAAATATCCCCAAAAACCTTTAATGTATTTCTGTAGCTTAAGTGCCAAAACTAAGTTAATTTGAGTATATATTATTTGTGCCTTCATAATTGAAGACGTCTGTAAGATGTGTGTGTATTTTATATTGCACATTTGTAAATTAAACTTTAAACAGCCAACGTGTTTTCAAAATCTTTGCAGTGAAGCTCTGCCATTCTTCTTGCTCCTGATCGACCTCTCCAGAGCCAGTGCATTAGCCAAATTTGCTCTCAGTTCCAATTCACAGGTCAGCATAAATGTCTGTTTTGATATTGTATATTTTTGTATTGAAATTACTGTCCTTCTAATGTATATGTTGTAAGGAGCCATAAAAATATGTGGTATTATTATTATTAGTATTTTATTAAAGATGTCAGCCTGTCATGACTGAAAAAACTTATATGAATATAGTGATGTAGTCTAGAATCATATTCTGATTTAGGTTGGCAAATTGGAACTTTCAATGCACTAACTAGAAAAATAGCGAAAGATAACAATTGTCAGCAGGGGCCTGTTTCTAGATTTGCCTACAAACTGAGAACCCTCTTCTCAGCAGTGGTCCCTTTGTAGGTGCTTTCACCGTAGTTGCTCACCTGATGCCTTTTCGCTGACCACTGTGTTAAAAAGTTTGTAAAAGACTTTTCTACCTTGAGCAATACATTACATTTTTCAGTACAGCTATTTTCCAGTTTGAAAGTATTTTTATTATCACCTCCCTGATTTGGTGTTTAATTTTTCTTCATGTTTTAGAATTGCTTTAATGCTCTTTTGTACAATTATATCTGCTGATTCTGTGATTTCATATTATTTTGGTGCATTTTGTTATCCATCCAGAGAACAACAACGGATGATGATAGATGAATAGAATAAATAAAAATTGAATGCCATTAAAGTATTACAGAACAGATAAGGCTCAGTGTGAATATTGGCATATAGCTGCATCTTGTGAATATTTTCTTACTGTTGTAAGCAGTTATAATTGGATTGAAATGTGATATATACCCCATACGTTGTTGCACATTGTCTAACATTTGCAGGACATGTCATTCAGTTGTTAAATCATAATATGCAGATATGTTCCTTTATGCATAAAGCTGTTTAACAAGAAAAACTTGGAATATGGTGATCAGTAATAACAAAGCTTTAGGGATAATTAAGAAATTAACTTCCATGTTCTCACTGTTCATGGATTGCTTTGAATATTTTATATATGAGGCATTTGGCTCTTACTTAATATTTGATTACTACAGTTGTTGTATGAAAGACTGAAGGCCTAATCTTTTTCTTACTATGTCAATGGATCCTTTATGGATTTTGATGTAAAACCATTATACATATTGGACCCACTTTTTAAAATTCTGTTTCAGCACTAGTAAGAGATTTCACTCTTCCAATTTGTATACTAATTGCTTTAAATACTTGTATTTCATGTAGGATGAAGTGAGAGACAATATTTCACGTGGAATGGCAATCTTGGGTCCTACATTTACACTAGATGCCCTTGTGGAGTGTCTTGTCATTGGCGTTGGTACAATGTCTGGTACGTCTGGAGTTTTATTGCCATTTAAGATACCATCTATCAGAACACAAAAAAAGATAGACACTTCTACCTACATTGTACTAGGGGAAAGATAAAACATGGGTTTCTGCAGATCTTATTGAATTATTACTCATTCTTCACTATTGACTATAACAAACAGGACAGTCCAATATCTTCTAAAGGACTATATGTTCCCTAGAGGATGGGGATGAATGCAGTTTTCTGTTGTCCTGTTAGATTTCAATAGATATCAGAATTGTGTAATAGCTGTTTTAGAGAAAGGACTTGTGATATTAAGGAAAATTATTTGGCATGGCTTTTTTGTGTTTGTTTCTGAGGATCCCAAGGCTGTAGTCACAATTTTACTGACAAACATTGCAGACAAACTTTACTAGTGTTTTCTACAACATTGTTCAATAAGACAAAAATGATGACATTTTTGGAGGTTTTATTAGCTATAGAAAGCTATTTCACTTTATTTCATATTTTTAACTGTACATTAATTGGAAAATTCCTTGTGGTGTGCGCTTCTGACTTCTTTCCCCATTCCTTGATAGATTATGCCTTGTTTTGTAGTACATGCCTTGATTAGTCAGAGATTGAAATGCTGTGGTGCATTATTAAGTATGCCTGTCCTTAACCACTTCAGTTGATTGAGTGCACAACAGTAAAAACACTAATAATTGTGTGTGTTGTGCTCCAGTTACACCAGATGGCCTGTTCTTTCCAAACTCAGTTTAAACTGGTCATTTTCATCTTCAAACCAAGGACCAGCTTATTTCAATGATCACATACTATTATATTAACCCACTTTTGCTTTCTGTTTGTCCTATAGCGCTTTGTTTTCAGATCCTTCAGAAAGCAAGAGCTATTCGGCTATTCAATACCAGAAATAAAGCATTTCCTCTAATTGGGTCATCACTTGGCATCTTTCTAGCTTTGAGGATTCATATGTTTCCCTTTCTGTTGGTTTTTAGGGAAATCTTTCAGACATTTTGATTTCCTTTTTAAAAATTTCAGAGCTCACCACTGCATGGCAACCCCACAGAAAACCCATTTGGGGTTATTTCTGTGGTTGTATATGTGTGTTTTGTTTGCCGAATATAATCTTTATTACTCTTCCAAAAAAAAGAATGATGTGGTTCTAATTGCTTGACCCTTATCTTTCTGACAGGAGTGAGACAGCTTGAAATCATGTGTTGTTTTGGCTGCATGTCTGTCCTTGCCAACTACTTCGTCTTCATGACTTTCTTTCCTGCATGTGTGTCCCTGGTATTAGAGGTAAGAGTTCATCAGCATCATAACTTCGAATTATCGTGACTCAGTTATAATACTTGCGAAGTACTTCGTCATAAGCTGAATATATTGCAGGAAATAACTTACAAAAATCTGGAAGAAACTAAAGGGGAAAATACTGTGACACAAAACATTGATTATTAATGTGCTGTATTACCCAACTTTGAATAAATAGCATGAAAAATTCATGCCATTGATTTGAAATAAGAGATGAATACAGGAGCTTAATATCATATGATGGGGATGTTTCTTGAACAATGAATAGACCATGGAAAAGTTGAATAATTTACAGCCATCTCTCCACATTTGCATCTTAAACTTTCACAGATATGATTCACCTCAGATTATTTGCTGCTGCTGTATTATATTTTTAATAGCATCTTTGATAACATTGCTTTATTACTATAAAATACACAACTTTATATGTATAAAACAACAACGCTAGAAAAACACAAAAACAACATGTATGTAAGAAAACCTACAAGTTACAAATAACTTTTCTTCTTTTACTGGTTAGTTATAATCCACATTTAGAATAATTTCCTGTGTGTGGGATTCTAGTCACACTTTTACAAACAAATAGTTACTATCACGTGAAACCTAGAACGGATACACTTCCCCTGTATCTTTGGTTGCTGTCAGGAAATCAAACTAGCAGGATAGGTGGGCCTGGATGTGTATATGCTCCCGTATTCAAGTAGGAAGGTGGTCAGTATGCATAAAGGATGAATACTTCTTTCATTGACAGAATATACGTCTCCTAAATATTAAACAAAACTATGCTGCATTTCTCATTATGAAACATCAGTTGTATATTCTATAGAATATCATGTAGCTTTTAATACGATGATGAATCATGACCCTATGTAAGAGGGTTAATACATGTGCCAAACTTTAATTTTCTTCTTGCAGCTTTCACGGGAAAGTCGCGAAGGCCATCCCATTTGGCAGCTCAGTCACTTCGCTCGTGTTCTAGAAGAAGAAGAAAATAAACCCAATCCTGTAACGCAGAGGGTTAAAATGATCATGGTAAGTTGCTTCTTTTTTTTTGTTAATTCATCCTATTAGGAGTACTGAAAATCAAAAGGACTAAAAAATGTTCAGTTTTCTCCAAACTTAAAAAGAAAACAGTGACAAAAATAAAGACAGTTACTTCATCGCCCAAACATAACTTTCAAGTCAAAATAAAGTGATAATTTCAGGGCAACATAGATTCAAGGCTTGATTTGATCAAGAGGTGAGGCTAATTTTTAAAGTGATTTATATACTATTTTACCTGCTGGTACTTTGCTTTGTTTAACTAAAGGCATAGATCTGGTTATGAAGATCTGTTAATTCACAATTATAGTATATATGTTCGCACCATCTAGAAAAGTATAGTCTCTATCCTTATAACATGTGCACCTATGTCTGTCACATCCACATGTTTAAATAGGTACTTTATATGATATAGTCCATCAAGAATCAGAGCCGGCACTAGGGAGCACTTGATGATGATAACAACAATAATATTTTTTTATTTGTTGCCTGTCTCTCCTTTTGGCTTGATGCATGGCACAAGGCACACTTACTGCAATTTTCCCCTGCAAATATTTTTTTAAAAAATTAATTTAAAAAGTTAAATTAGAAAAGCTTTAACTATAGCAAGTTTATGACGTCAGAAAATGTAAAGGAAAATTAAATATAAAGGGCACAGGTGTTTTGTAATGAAAAAGTCTTACAGCTATAAGACTGCAATAAAAAAGGATGTGCTGTGAAATACCCTTTATTTATATTCAACTTTGTATATTTTCATATTCTTGGATTAATCAGTAATTCTGTTTTAAATTTTAGTCTCTAGGATTAGTTCTCGTTCATGCTCATAGTCGCTGGATAGCAGAGCCATCTGCACAAAATAGCACAGCAGAAATATCTGTGGGACTGGATGATAATACACCCAAAAGAATTGAGCCAAATGTGTCTCTGTGGCAGTTCTATCTTTCCAGGTATGCTTAAATATGGTCAGGTTAATACATGTTTGTCTGTCTGTCATTCATTTTAGATTATTTACAATGAATTAAGCTACTAATTTTGTAAGCTCAGTGTACATTTCCCACTTTATTTAAATTGTTTTTTTAAAAATTGGGGAATCAGGTGGCTTCAAGACACTTCAAGACGCTGCAGAATTGGGCTGGGATGGTAGCATTTGGCTTGGCTTGTCTCAGGCATCTAATTCCCCACATTTTTAAAAATAAAAATAGACACACTTTTTGAATGATTTTTCTCCTGAAAACTGCCAAACTGCTCTCCCGAAACTGGACTTGAATAGTCTCACATAAGATCAGAATGTTAAAAGTGTTTTGGAGGAGAAGGATTAATTTATAGAGCGCTATTGCTCTATATCAGTTTTTTATTTATTGTTTTTATTTTTTATTTATTGTTTTTTATGTATTTAGACAGCAAGAATGTCAATATATAGTGGGTAATCAAGTATTTGCACTGGACAGAGAAAAGGAGACATAAATGGTGCTGTTTTTTAAAGATATTAGAGAAACTAGCCAATTCTCCTTGTTTTCATTACAAGAAGTAATACATATTGTCTGTTTACTCCCTTCTAGAATGGCCAGTATGGATATTGAGCAAGTAATTACACTTGGCTTAGCTCTTCTCCTTGCTGTCAAATACATCTTCTTTGAACAGACTGAGATGGAATCCACATTGTCATTGAAGAACCCCATAACATCACCATTAGTGATTCAGAAAAAAAGTCCTGAAAACTGCTGCAGAAAACCATCTGTGCCTTTAAAAAATAATCCCACCACCAAAAATACAAATACCCCATCTGCCAAAACTGAAAAGGGTATACTCTTTAATGATACTTCTGCTTACAATTTTTCAATGTTTAGTACCAAAGTTTGAAGCATGCAACCATTTATTTTATCTTAAAAATTTTTTGCAGATGAAACCATAAAGCCTTTCCTGCCGGAGTCGCCAGCAAAGGCCACCTTTTTGCTTGGTAGTTGTGCTCCTGAAGCAACATCTACATTAGATAATAATACAGAGCCTGATCTCAAACTGCCAAAAGAGTCACGCTCTGTTGAAGAATGCCTTTCGATACTTCAGAATGGCAAGGTAAGAAAGTAAAATAACTTGGAGCAGGAAATATTTTTATGATATTCAGTATGGATGTATGCCATTTTTATGAATCTGGCTTGTGGAATAAACCAGCAAATTACCCGTTTTCTATTTGCATAATGTATAATGGACTGAAATTCTGGGAAAAGTGTAGAAAATATATTTTGACGTCCATCTTTCCACCTGGACCTTTCAGAAACCGGATATCAGCAGTAACAGTTACCTACCCCTGAAAGATGTTCTTACAAACAGTTCAGATTCAAGTATTTTTTTAAAAAAAAAATTGCCTCCAGGGTCTCATTGTCTCCTCCCCAATTCAATGGCAGTCTGTCTTAGTTATAAAGAATTCAGGCTGTTATCTATTATTAGAAAAGAGATGGTTTGTAAGAAGGCAATCAAAAAATAAACAAACATTTTCATCTTCCTAGATGGGCGCTAAGTTCCTTACTGATGCTGAAGTCATTAATTTAGTCAGTGCAAAACATATTCCTGCTTACAAGTTGGAGACTTTGATGGAAACTCAGGAACGTGGTGTGTCAATTAGGAGACAAATTTTATCTCAGAAACTTCCTGAACCTTCCTCCTTGCATTATCTTCCTTACAAGAACTACAATTATTCTTTGGTGAGTAGATGTGTGGGTTAACAACAAAGTATATACACATTTATTTACTTATGAACAGAATAATCAAGTGTTTGGGGTTTTTTATTTGGGTTTGAAATTAAACCAAATGTGGTCATCAATAGCAGATATGGGTCCTCAGCCTGAAGAAAATGATAGAAGATGACAGATATAGTTAGTAATGAACATCCTTTGTAGAGTTGTTGTTGTTGTTGCTTCTGAAGTACAGCAGATGTAGATGTGTCTTCCCCTTTCTACATGTATAGCTTGGGATGATATAAATACAATATTCACATTAGTGTCATCTAACATTTCTGTAATCAAGTTTGTATTCTGAGTTTGTAGCAAGCATCAATAAAAAGATTTATTGTTCATAAGGTGTTGCTTGCCATAAAGTAATGATATATATAATTTTAAAAAGTATTTACCTATTTCAATGTTGACTTTTGTGTTAAGGTAATGGGTGCCTGCTGTGAAAATGTGATTGGATACATGCCAATCCCTGTGGGAGTGGTCGGTCCCCTTCTTCTGGATAACAAAGAGTTTCAGGTTCCAATGGCAACAACAGAAGGATGCCTAGTGGCAAGCACAAATAGAGGGTGCAGAGCAATATGTGTAAGTACCCATGGGCAGGGTTGGTATTTAAACAGCTAAATTGAGTGGCATTCAGCTGTGCCTGTCGGGTAGCGGAATCCCCCTGAGTCTGAGAGGAGCGATATATAAATATAGTAAATAAATAAACAGATTTCCCTTACCCTCTGCAGTCCCCACTTGCTGATATTGAGGGGCAAAGCTAGGATGGAGAAGGTAATATAATGTTTCTGAGCTTCCTGTTGCCAGATGTTTCTTGAAGTATTTGAAATGTATTTATTTCATGTAAAAAGCATTGCATATATAAGCAGGCAACAGTGACCACATTGTCTGTATAGTCAGGGCATTGTGGATAAGCATACAGGTGCAGAGTTGTTTGTTCTGACATAATAAAAGTTGAACATACCAGTTTACCAATCACGAATCATGCTCTTGTCTTTATCTCAGCTTGGTGGAGGTGCCAGGAGCCGTATTCTGGCGGATGGAATGACTCGAGGCCCTGTGGTAAGGCTGCCCACAGCCTGTCAGTCTGCTGAAGTGAAAGCTTGGCTTGAGACACCAGAAGGCTTTAAAAAAATCAAAGATGTATTCGATAGCACTAGCAGGTTAGGATTTTATGTAGTAAAGGATAGGGTATTGTGCTTCCCCCCCCCCCCCTCAAATAAAGCACTTTGAAACAGTGCAACCAAAATAAATGTTGAGGCAACATATATTTATCACTTTAAAAATATTTTTATATAGGTTTGCTCGTCTCCAAAGGCTTCATGTGGGTTTAGCAGGACGCAACCTCTATATTCGTTTCCAAGCTAGAACTGGTGATGCAATGGGAATGAATATGATTTCAAAAGTAAGTGCTGTAATTTAAACAAACGCTGATTTCAAAATACAGATGTTAATCCAAGTCTTCTTCTTTTTTTTTTTTTTTTAGTAAGATACCCCGAGGATAGAGAAAAAAGAAACTAAAGATCTAGAATTCTACTTACATGTTAAAAGTGTTGCTGAATTGGGAAAATTATGTTGTGGTCCAATTTAATGAACCAGAGTTGGGAATTCAGTTAAATGGGTTGACAAATTTGTCTGCAATAAATGGTTTCATGTCCTGTTGTGTCCCCTAGCTAATCATTTTCCCAGCTTGGTTCTCTCCAGATGTTTTGGACCACAATCCCTACCATATCCTACACTATACAATTGTGAGGCTGATGTGGGTTATAGTGTTATCTTAGGCGATACAGTGAAAACAATTGTTGCAGAAATCTCTTGCAAAGGAAGTGAAATGTGTGATTTTCAAACATTTCTAAAAAAAATTGGAGCAAACTTTCCATAGAGTTCATGTGCATTTTTTCTGCAGTGAGTTCGGTCTGAATTTATTTTTTGTGAAAAGGATTTACATAAATTAAAATCCTCTTCATCTAATCCAGCGTGGAGCCCACAAAAGGTTTTGATGACATAATTTGGTTAGCGTTAAAGATTCCATGAGACTCCGTTTTCCCTCCTCCTCCCTTTTTAAAATACTTTTTTTCATGTCAGGAGTGGCTTGAGAAACTGCAAGTCGCTTCTGGTGTGAGAGAATTGGCCGTCTGCAAGGACATTGCCCAGGGGATGCCTGGATGTTTTACCATCCTGTGGGAGGCTTCTCTCATGTCCCCGCCTGGGAAGCTGGAGCTGACAGACGGGAGTTCATCCCACTCCTTGGATATGAACCGCCGACCTTTGGTCAGCAGTCCTGCCAGCACAAGATTTAACCCATTGCTACACCAGAGGCTGAAACATATTAACATGATTTGATTAACACTGAAACAGATCAATATGATCTGATTAATGCTGAAACAGATTAACATGACTTTCCCATCTCCCTATAAGAGTAAAAATTTGTTGAGAGAGTGTTCCCACTTCTCGGGCAAAGTCTGGATCCAAGCTAATATTTGGCACAAAGTGCCTTCTATGGATGTCTTCCAGAGTAACTTTCTATGAGTGAGTTACTACTTAATTTAACTTTAAAAGAATGCTCTTTTTTAGTTTTGTGTTTTCAGTAGTGCCTTTGGGAATTAAGTAATCTATTTTAATATTAGAAATAATATCAAATATTTTCTTCTCTTTTTCTCTCTTTGCCATCCTTTTTTCCCTAAACAGGGTACAGAGAAGGCACTTGCAAAACTGCAGGAAGAGTTTCCTGATCTCCACGTTTTAGCTGTTAGTGGCAACTACTGTACAGATAAAAAGCCAGCTGCCATAAACTGGGTAGAAGGGAGAGGAAAATCAGTTGTCTGTGAAGCAGTCATTCCAGCAAAAGTTGTTAAAGAAGTGAGTACCTCCTGTGTAAGCCACCTTGATTTAATGCAAAATAGAATGAAATGATTTGCAAATTACTGTAGTGTGTGTGTGTGTGTGTTTTAATAGATCTATTCAGATGATCTCAGTATGAACTCTATCCAGAAATTATTTAGGTGGGGGCTGTAGGTTATTTAGAACTATAACTTTCTTTTCATTCAATATGGTAATATTTCAGGCAAGTTTCTATGTGTCTTCTTGGTAAGAGACAAAAATGTGTTTTTATCACTCTGCTTTCTGCATTAATTGGAATAACATAGGAGTTTTATTATTGTTTATTTGGGTTTGTTTTAGGTATTGAAAAGTACCACAGAAGCTATGATTGAAGTCAATGTAAACAAAAATTTGGTTGGCTCTGCAATGGCTGGCAGCATAGGGGGCTACAATGCTCATGCAGCGAACATTGTCACTGCCATGTACATTGCATGTGGACAGGTAGGTTTTGCTTTAATTTACCACTGTGTGTATGTGTAAAAAAGAGAGGGAGGGAGGCATACAACAAAATCAAAGCTAAAATCATGTGATCTTTTGTTTCATTTTACCTGACTAGGATGCAGCCCAGAATGTCAGCAGCTCAAACTGCATCACGCTGATGGAATCAGCTGGTCCTGCCAATGAAGATCTATACATCAGTTGCACAATGCCCTCCATAGAAATTGGGACTGTGGGCGGAGGAACCAACCTGTTACCACAGCAGGCTTGTTTACAGGTGTAAAGACTCAGAATAAATAAATATGTATGAGTATCAAAAGAAATAAATTTGCATAATTACAACCCAGCCCTGTTCTGTATCGCAAAACCTCAGTCACATGTTTCTGGTCCATGTTTTGCAATTTGGAATCATTGTGCTGTTCCAGCCAACTCCCACATTTGAAAGCTCTATTGCAACGGCTCCCAACCATTTCCAAGTCATGGCTCTATTTTATAGAAGCCAAGTGACCTGCGACCCCAACACTTTAAAATAGGTTTTTAAATAGAGTAAATGAAAACACATCAAAAATAGATTTTTCAGTGTAATATAAATCAAAACAATGTTAATTTATGGCATATTTGATGCGATCATTGAAGTTGTAACTCATTAATAAGCATAAACATTTGCTGTTGAGTTTTCATGAATGTCAACCTCATGTCGTTCTCCACATTTAACATGTTTCTTGTTTTGGTTTTTAATTGAAGAAGCATTGAAAATCCACTCTCATAGAGATATGTAGAAGCAAAGGAGAGTAAAACATGAATCACAAGCATGATGATATTAGGATTATGTGATTTTTTGTTTTCCCTCCTTTACATTTTCATAGCTCACCACTGCCTGGCAACCCCACAAAAAAACCTTCATGACCTTATTTGGGGTTGTGACCCATGGATTGGAAACCACTGCTCTATTGTTTTGTTTTGCTTTTTAATATCACAAATGTATATACCTTCATTAGTTGTGGGCGGGGAAGACACAAATATTTGCCCATCAGGGGCATGTGTATATTTAAAGGTACTGTCAGCAGATGCCTGTAGTAGAAGAATGCTTCTAATCCCATCAGCTCTAGTAATCATATCTACTAATGAGGGATACAGAAGTTGTAGTCTCCTGTATGGCAGGCTGGATTCAGCCCTTGGGACTTAAGTTGCAACTGGCTCTGATTCTTCAAGACCAAATGCAGAGATCTTTCTTGCTGCCTGGTGTATTTCAGCTAAGGCTACGAGACATTGGGCTTGCTAAATTCAGAACTCAGTTGCTTGTACAGCTTTATCACTGAGTGAATATTTTGAAAGTAGTTTAAAAGTTGCAAAGTGAGGGCTTGCAGCGTCTAGAACAGAACACATTTGTGCCTTTTTCTAAAATACGCTGTTATCTCCTTATAGATGTTGGGGGTACAGGGAGCGAGTTCGGAGAACCCTGGAGAGAATGCCCGCCAGCTTGCTAAAATTGTGTGTGCGACAGTAATGGCCGGAGAACTGTCCTTGATGGCTGCCTTAGCTGCAGGGCATTTAGTCAGAAGCCACATGATTCACAACAGGTAACAGAGGGAGACCATTACCTAGTCTCATCACCTTGTTCCTCTCTTCTACTGGACAGTTAACAATACCTGACATTTGAATTTGTTTTATCTTGTTTTTTGACAGGTCAAAAATAAATCTACAAGATCTTCAGGGGACATGTACCAAGAAAGCTGCGTGAAACTGACAGAAACTTGAAACAAAACATAGCTATGAGAAATTGATGTGCGAAAGGAAACAGCACATGTGAACTTTAGAAGGAATATAATTGTTCAATACAATGGATTGGTGGAAAGACACACAATGGGATTGGTGGATGTGTAATCCACACTTGGCTATTTGCATCCTTTGCCCCTTTGGATGCCACACAAGGATGCTGCTCTATGGGAAATATTTCAGGTGGTTTTAATTAGGACATGGACTCCAGTGTGTCCTGAATCATATAATCTGTACCACGAGGCTCCATGTGGGTAATGCAAACTATTCAAAAGATTAACCTTGCTCCGTTTGGCAATGGAAATATTCTGGCTACTGAAAGGAAAGCAAGTACTGTAACTCATTGGTGAAGTTTTTAAAGCAGTCGACTCCATTAGTTGCTTGTGTTCTTTCATTGTTTTCAGGCTAACCTGGTATAGTTTGCATACAAACCTGAAACAACCTGTTATTCTTGTGGTCCAAGCCTTCAGCTCACATCAAAGCATCCCACAGACTCTTTTTTAAAAAATTGGTTTAAGGTTAAAATTTGGACAGTGGAATAATTCAATTGAATCACAGTAACATTCAGAATTTTCTTTCAGGGTGCTTCACTTTCCGTTGTGCTATTTGTACAGATTGTAATGTTAATTCTCCAGCTCATTGGGGGAAATTTGCATTGCTGCAAGAAAGCTATGGTCAGTAGATACTGTATTTCAAGAGATAAGACCACCGAGGTGAAATTCTCAGGTGTTTTGCTCCGATAGACTTACGTTGCATAGGGGACTAGAAGTTTTCTGCACCGTCCAGTGGGAAATTCTCTGAGGCCGCTGCTGAAGATCACTGTAGATGTAAAACCTAATCATTTCAGTGGCACTTTTTCCTAGGAGAACATCCCAGTTGACTGCAACCTTGGGAAACTCTAAAGGGTTAGGGTTTTAACAGGGATAGTTTTGAATAAAAGAGTCAAAAACATGTTTACACTTTTTCTCAATCATCATTGTAGGGTATGGTGTGAGTCCCACTGCCTCCCCATCCCACCTCACAAGAATAGGCACATGCCTTGAGAGGAGAGATCTCTTAAACATTCATTACTGCTTTGTTACTGATCCTTCACTCAGTTTTTTTCTTGAATTATAATTTATTATTTGGGGGCAAGTTCCAAGTTGCTTCTCAGTTTTTTGAAGGAATACTAACAAGTTCATTGAAATGATCTTGAAAGTAAAGTGAATGCAACAAAGGTAGCTACTTATTTGTGAAACCTACCACAAAGCTACATGGAGGATCAGTCTGAAGAGGGAGAGCAGGAGCTCAGCGGTTGTCAGAGGAAGAGGCGACTCACTGTCCGAAGCTGGGCTGGGGTCCTTCAGTTTCTGCTTGGTCCTGCATGCAAGAGGCACACTTCTTGCAAGCTCAGTACAATTGTGGTAGTATTTTATGGGTTTTGTTAATACATAAAATATTTAACTGGTATGTATTAGGTTCATAAAGTCAGCCCAAGTCAACTTGTTACTTGGAGGTATGTGCTGCGGCTATTTGTAAATAGCATCATGAATGTCCATCCTGCTACAGTATTGTTTGTCCAGCAGTTACCTTTTTATTATTTATGCAGAGTTTGAACTTAACAGGTTTTAATATTTAATGCAACACTGGGCTAGCAATAAATGGTTTGTACAGTGTCCATTTTGGTGAATGTAACTGACATTCTATCTTTCCAAAAACCATTTTGTACTATTAAAATATTTGGTACATTTTTTTTTCAGTTTCAGTAAAACAATGTAAAAAAACAAGTTTGACAAAGCTTTCCCCTCCCCTCCATTTTGAATGTTAATTACAGGCTTAGAAACAATTGTAGAGTTTAAATGCTATCCGGAGATTCATCTAGACCTTCTGGCCTTTTGAATGCCTGGGCAAGAAAATGATAGTGGCCAAGGGTGGCTGACCCCTGTAGCAACACTGGTGCTGTCCCTTCTCCGTGGAATGGCAGTTGACTCATTTATGAGTTACATCAAAATCTATAGTTGTGGCTCCCAAACCTGCCCTTGACTTATACATTAGAGCCATTTATACATGAGTATATATGGTATCTGAAGACAACCAGGAACAGATGACATCTTAATGTACTTAAATATAGCAAGTGGTATAGCAGATATGCTGTGTCTAAATCAATGGTTCTCAATCTTTTTTTGACCAGGGACCACTCTTCAACATTAGTACCAAAAGCCTTACAAATCAGTTTTTGGTCAACTTTAAAAGACACCCGTTCCTGTTTGATCTTGGGGCTAACTCTGCATAGTACATGGATGGGAGATTGCCAACAGAGACCAGGAGCTGTAGGCTATATTTTAGAAGAAGGCCCTGCTAAATCTACCTCTGAGTATTCCTTGCGCAAAATAATCCTAGGGAATTGAGGCATATATGCTGCACATAAGAAATTTAAGGATGAGGTCACTGACTTCTCTTGTCCACATGCCTGTGATGTTGGCATGGCAATTAAAAATGAAAATGAAGCTGAGAAGGGCTGAAGATTAAATACTGTATTGCCACAAAATATTGCATTGTCAGAAACAAAAGACGGTATGTGAAAATTTTAGGCAAACGCTGATCCCTTCCTTACAAATGTTACTCCTTTGGCCAACCTTTGCCAGCATAAAAATCCACAACTAATATTTCCTTTGACAGATGGCCATCACAACTCAGTTTACAAACCTCCAGTTGATCAAACATCTGATGCTTTCTGTGACTGTCAAAATCCCCTTTGCCAATTTAAATTCATTGGTTTGGTTTGGGTCCTACCGAAAACAAGCTTGCTTCTGCTCTTATGTTTTGGAAGATGCTGATACTTCATAACCCCCAGGACTGTTTACCATCTTTATTACCTTGCCGTGAATATATTCTAGTTAATTAACATTTTAAATTTGAGGATCAGAAGTGTATACTATTCTAGATGATATTTGACCAAAGAAGAATAGAATGGTACTATTACCTCCTTTGATCTGCACACTTGTGTTCTTGAGCTGGGAAACATAAAAAGTTTCTATGGGGGAAATGTAAAACATCTCCCATTTCACCTATTGCATCCTCCTAAAAGCATTGGTTTTGTGCCAGTGGACAGCAATGAGTGTTCCAACTATTCTTATTGCTGGATCCACAGCACTACGTTTTCCAGAACCTCAAGAGGCCCTTAGGATGTCTTGTATGTTGAGTTATAAGAATATAGCTGGATGATTGGCATTCCACTCTTCTTCACTAGTCAGTAAACTGATATTGTGAAGCTGAAAGGCTTTTGGTAATATTTGGCAATGAATCGAAAATGACTTGCAAAATGTAATTAGAATTTAAACAGGTCAGCATGACAGCAAGTTCTTTTGATACAGCCTATAATTGCATTGGCTTTTATTTGTTGCCACATCCTCCTTCTAACTCATACTTAGTTTATGGTTCAAAACCTGCTATGCCCAAGCTAGAACCCTGCAATTCTTTAATGTGGATCTTTGTGGGATCTTTAGGAAGTTTGATCTGTTTGTAAATTATGAAGAGGGTAGTTACAGATTTGTGTGTGTGTGTAGCAGCTTGGCAATTTCCCCAGACTTGGCCAACTTGACATGCCTGAGTTATTGGGATGGAGGGAATAATTACATGCTATGGTCATCTATGAAGAATGGGAAGAGCTAATGTCATAGATTCAAGTCTGACCAAAGTAATTAAGAGGTGCTCTCATACTGCAAATCCAATAAGAAAATTATCCCCTTCTATCCAGTGCCTGACAGTAATTTAGAAATATAATTCCGCTTTTGCACAGCTTCTTGGTCACTTAGTATCATGCAGTCATTCACCAAATATCCTGCACATTATAGTCATAGCAGAAGGAGAAACGATGTGGCATGGACTTCCTTTTATAAAAGAAGGTGAAAAACATTGGGTCAAGGAATTTCAATAGGTGCCCCACTCATGGCCATTCAGTAGCCAAAAGGATAGAAAGTTCAGTGAGACTACATGGGCTATCCAGTCCAACCTTCTGCCATGCAGAAAAAGCACTCCCAACAGATGGCCACCCAGCTTCCTTTTATTTGAGCTTCCAAAGAAGGAGCCTCCACCACACTGAGGCTGAGAGTTCCACTCCTGAACAGCTCATACAGTTCTTCCTAATGTTCAGGGGAAATTTCCTTTTCTGTATTTTGAACCCATTGCTCTGAGTCCTGATCTCCAGGACAGCAAAAAAGAACCCCGCTGCCTCTTCCTTATGACATCCTTTCAGACATTTAAACATGGTGATCATGTCTTCTCTCAATCATCTATTCTGCAGGCTAAAAATACCTACCTCTTTCAGACACACCTCATAGGGCATGGTCTCCAGACCTTTGATCATTTTCACCGCCTTCCTCTGGACCTGTTCCAGCTTGTCAATATTCCTCTTGAATTGTGGTGTCCAGATTTGGACACCATATTCTCGGTGAGGTCTAACCAAAGCAGAATAGGAGGGTATCATGACTTCCCTTGATCTAGACACTCTTATTTTGATGCATTCCAAAATCTCATTGGTTTTTTAGCTGCTGCATCACATTGTTGACTCATGTTCAATTTGTTGTCCACTCTAAGATCTTTTTCAGGTGTATCCCACCCTGTATCTGTGCACTTCACTGCTTCTGCCTAAGTGAAGTAGCTTACATTTCTCTTTGTTAAAATTCATTTTGTTAGTTTTGGCCCAGCTATCTAACCTGTTGAAGACATTTTGAATTCTGATCCTGCCTGCTGGAATATTAGGTATCTCTCCCAATTTGGTGTCATCTGCAAACTTGATAACCATCTAAGTCAATAATAAAGATGTTGAACAGCACCAAGTCCAGGACAGAACCTACTAGTCATTTCTTTCCGGGATGAAGATGAACCATTGCTGAACACCCTTTGGGTTCATTCACTCAACCAATTGCAAATCCACTTAACAATAGTACATATTATATAGCCCACTTTTTACTAGTTTGTTTGCAAGAAGATCATGAGGGACACTTGGAGGAACCTTACAGAAATCACGATATGCTACATTCACAACATTCCTTGCATCAACCAAGCTTGTAATCCTGTTGAAAAAAAGGTAGAAGATTAGTCTGGCATGACTAATTACTAAAGGCTGATCTTTAGTAATTACTATAGCATTCTTTTCTAAGTGGTTACAGGCTGCCTCTTTAATGATCTGCGCCATAATCTTTCCCAATATTGATCTCAAGCTGACTTGATGATAATTATTAGGGTCCTCTTTTTTCTCATTGTTCATAAAAGGGTGCCAGCCAATAGTTGCAGTTACAGATGCTTCATACAAACCAACCAATGAACATCCAAACATTTCACAAGTCTCAGGTAGCATGGTATGAATCATTTCACCTACCGATCTGTTTTTTAGATGCCGAATAAGTTTCAACAGACATAGTTTTCATCAGATGGAAAATGGAACCCTTGCCATGGCTTCTGATGGGAAAGGAAAGATATAGTGTACATAGTAAAGCCCTCTATTCTGCCACCTAGGAAGAAGTGATTTAGACTTCATCTGTTTCTTGGTGATTTGTTATCTTTATCAGTGTGTCAAAATGTGTGTGAAAATTTAATGAGTAGGCTCATAAGCAAATAATAGGTGTTGTGCAAAATGTTCCAGTTGTTTTGAAATCTGGCCATAGGGTTACATTACGGTTTGCTGAAGGAAGCATAGTTTTGTCAGATCAGAAGAAGGATAAAAGGTAACCTTAGAACTAAAGTTAGACCTTTTCTTTCATAATAGAGCATCTAGTCCTGAAGAACACCATTTCTAAGTAATACTCTCCAAGGATACAATCAATATTGATCTTTCCTTAAGGGAAGAGAGCTGCTGTTTATAATTGGTCCGCCATATTCACATATTTTACATCCACAGATTCCACAATTAACAACTTGAAAATGTTTTTAAAATTCCAAAAGCAAATCTTAGTTTTGCCATTTTATATAAGGGACCCCATTTTATTAGTGAAGACATATGCCCAGTGTGGTACATATCTCACCATGCTAAAACAGTGGATGTGGCTCTTAATGAAGACATGCTACATTATCACACTCTGTCTGCGCCCTACAGCACTAGAGAAATTACACTGTTTAGCCAGTATTGCACCACCTGACATTTGCTGGGAAGTAGCAGCTAATAATAAAAAGACCAAGGCAGTGACATTCCTGGCCCATCCCCTGTTTAATATCAGCCAGCATGACAATGCTTTAAATCAATAAATAGTTCTTTAAGATCTACAGAGATACTTGCAGGAATGCTTCAGTAAGCAAGAGTCCAAAAGTGGCAGGCTAAAACCCAAAACCTCAGGCTATGGCTGCTGCCAAATGAGTGACTCCTCTCCTGGGCACACAGAAGACTAGGCGACTTGGAAGGTGCTGAACAGACTGTGCTCTGGCACCACAAGATGCAGAGCCAACCTTTAGAAATGGGGCCATAAAGTGGAGTCCACAATATGCGAATGTGAAGAAGAACCACATTCCACAGACTACCTATCACGGTGCATCCTGAGCCCTGCCACATGCACAATGGAGGACCTTCTTATAGCAACACCAGAGGCACTCCAAGTGGCCAGCTACTGGTCAAAGGACAATTAGTATAATGCCAAGTTTTTAAACTTTGTATTTTCTAAAATACATCACAACTACTCTTGGTTCACTTGTGACACAATAAATAAAAACTACTATTACGTCACTGTAAATAATAGGATTTCAACATCTACAGATGTTG